TGCCTTATAATCAAATTTAAATGATTAAACTGCAGCTGTAAATCATTGAGACTGCTGTAACAATAAATCAGTCTAGACTACTGTAATACAGAGGAAGTCTCTTCTCATTACGACTGCATATTCAGTTAAAAAATCGTAAATATTCACCACAAAAAATGATAAAATTAATATAACAGCCAATGGGCTTGACCTACATAATCATAAATATGCGTAATCTGAATTCATCATTCAAATGCTCGCATAGCTAATTCTATAGCCTAGTTCTTCAAATCTCATGATCATCACAGGTTTTTTTTTTCATGATCATTATAGTCATTTTCTTTTCGTTTCATACATCTTCTCATAATGATAAAACTGGCTGTCTGCCTTGTCATATCAGCGTCCAGCAGTGTTTCTGAGTATTATATGAGGCCAGTTTGGGAGGAAGGGCAAATTCATACCCAACAAATGCGCCGCACAAGGGCTAAAACTACTACGTTAATAAGGAAAAGACCCCACGGGTCGTTTGGGCTCTGTGGGCAGATGGAATTTGGAAATGTAGGGGCTGAACCGGTACTGAGTGGCATAACTAGAACGTGCATAAGAAGACGTATTATTACTGCTAAGGCTAATTTCCGCGCGCCTCTGTCTCTCACAGAAAGCAAATGTGGAAAACCACTAGACTTTTGGCCGGAGATTTGTTTTACGTTGCAACAATAGCTATTGTTATAAAGTTCTGAGACTGTACGGTTTCCCAAATTTTAATTAACAAGTTTTCAAACCCCCTAACGTGGACTAAAGCGGGATTTGACCTTGATCTCTCATATCCTCATACGTTTTAACATGCGTGCAACTATTTCTCTAGCATATCGCGTGAGATAAATGAAGTTAAAAATGCTCTCTGATTAATTAGACCATAAAAAATATTAAATGGCTGTCATTACCACAGGCATACCTTCATTGTTTACTAATTTGTAAATGCCTACCAAGTGCAAATTCTTGGAATCGGCATGTTCGAACAGAAATGAGAGATAATCCGATGCACGATCCAAATCTGTTTCAACGGAGCACGCCTGCGAGATAAGAACGCAAATTCGATGCTAAAATAAAAGCAGAGAGAGTTTTTCGGAAAAATGCATAAAATATAGGAAAAAATTTTTCGGGACTAGCTATGAAAAAAAAGCTTTTTTTCAACAATTTAACGATACCTTCAGTTCAGTGAAAAATGCAATATTCTGAAGGCTGCAAGCGGGAGTTGCGTTCGTTGCAACTGGTGATGCCTGGATGTTCGTGTCGCGCTGAAAAATTTATTCAAATTGCAAGCAGTAATAAATGCAGAAGTGTAGAATTTTATTGAATTTCAAGCAAAAATGCACTGCTCCTAGTCGGTAGGATGCCCCTCCCTCCCCTCCTTCCTCGTAATCCGGGAGTGGCAGCATTTGGATTAACATGATACTGTCCAAAGATATAAAAAAAAAAAAAAAATAAAAGAACTTTTCGAAAAGGCTAAAATCTTGTCAAGAGCTCTCCTCTGAGGAGCCCTTCGCTTGATAATCCTTTCAAGAATAGAAATGGAAGGCGGGATCAAGAAAAGACTGATTAGCAGGCTTCATTAATTAATGTGACTTAAAAAGTTTCTAGCTACACAATTGGAAAATCAGCTCATGATTTTCAGTAAACCACTCCAATAAACGCGACGTATTTCATAAATGCCGCTTCCTTGTCGATTTTGGCTTCCCACGCACTGAATTTCCCACTAAAATATGCAATAACTTCCCCAAGTCTAGCCCCAACAACCCTAAATTTCTCGTCTGATTAACACTTTTTCGATAAGTGAAGAAAAAGAAAGAGCAACATTAAATGCTGTAATCACATACATTGAGAAGTAATGTGAGACAGTATGCGGATGCAGCACGTTCGGATGGTGAATGTGCTGCTAAATGAGTGCCCAAATATTCCAATGTTTCAAGCACTGATGCTTTGGTCGCGGTCGGACCGATCACAGCATTTCGCAAACGATTGCGCATCTAAAACGCACATTTTACTACTTTTTCAACAAAAATCGCTTAAAATTCAACTTCGACAAAGTTATTTTTGTTATTTTTGTTTCTCTATTATTTCCTGATCTGTTTTGGCTAAATCATCGTTTTTCTGCGTTTTAAACTATGTGCCCGGGACTGTGTACTGAACTGCCCCAT